GCTGCTCTAATAAAGAAACGGCACTTTCTTTTGAGACGGCATGAATACGTGTGTCAGAAGGACTGAGAGCCCTGTGTGTGTGTGTGTGTGTGTGTGTGTGTGTGTGTGTGTGTGTGTGTGGTGTGTGTGTGTGTGTGTGTGTGTGTGTGTGTGTGTGTGTGTGTGTGTGTGTGTGTGTGTGTGTGTGTGTGTGTGTGTGTGTGTGTGTGTGTGTGTGTGTGTGTGTGTGTGTGTGTGTGTGTGTGTGTGTGTGGTGTGTGTGTGTGTGTGTGTGTGTGTGTGTGTGTGGTGTGTGTGTGTGTGTATGTCTGTCTGTCTGTCTGTCTGTCTGTCTGTCTGTCTGTGTGTGTCTGTCTGTCTGTCTGTCTGTGTGTCTGTCTGTGTGCATGTCTATGTCTGTCTGTGTGTGTGTGTGTGTGTGTGTGTGTGTGTGTGTTGTAGGAGCAGACACAATAGTGGTGGCTCAAAGTCCGTTAGATGAGCCTGGTCAGATTGATAAAAGAGGGAGTTCAACACACCGGCATAAAAGTTATAACAAGAATCTGATTTTAATGGTAAAAAACACCAATACAAGTTTACAGAGTACTCCGGACTCCCAGTTCTACTGCTGTGCGATGCAGGTATCGGGACCAGCCAGTCAGAAACAGGGGGCCTTTTGCGTGACTACACAACAGTATATATGGATATATTTTGAGGTGGAGAGCCACTTCTTATCTTCCACCGGACCCAACTCCTTTAATTTCCCAGGGAAGGCTTCACACGAACTATTCTTTTAAAACAATCAAACATTGTACACAGATATATTTGTGCTTGGGATTATTCTCAGAGGAACCTTGAAAAAAGAACATGTGTGTGTGTTAGTGAGGGAAAGTGTATGTGTGTGTGTGTGCATGCTGATAAGCAGAGGCATATGTGTGTGTGTTGCTGATATCTGGGTTAAGGAGTTTATGTGTGTGTGCTGCATGGAGACAGTAGGTGTATGTGTGTGTGTCAGGGTCTCTGGGTCATGGAGTGTAAGTAAGAAGGTTTAGATATATAGGATTACTTTAAACAGTCCCAAATAATACATGTTCACTTCAATACAGTTCAAGATAATACCTGTTTACTTTAATACAGTTTAGAACAATATCTGGGTGCTTTAGTGTCTGTCTCTGTGTGTGTGCATGTCTATGTCTGTGTGTGTGTCTATGTGTGTGTGTGTGTCTGTCTATGTCTGTGTGTGTGTGTGTGTGTCTATGTCTGTCTGTGTGTGTGTGCATGTCTATGTCTGTGTGTGTGTCTATGTGTGTGTGTGTCTGTCTATGTCTGTGTGTGTGTGTGTGTGTGTGTGTGTCTATGTCTGTCTGTGTGTGTGTGTGTCTATGTCTGTCTCTGTGTGTGTGCATGTCTATGTCTGTGTGTGTGTCTATGTGTGTGTGTGTCTGTCTATGTCTGTGTGTGTGTGTGTGTGTGTGTGTGTGTGTGTGTGTGTCTATGTCTGTCTGTGTGTGTGTGTCTATGTCTGTCTGTGTGTGTGTGCATGTCTATGTCTGTGTCTATGTGTGTGTGTGTCTATGTCTGTGTGTGTGTGTGTGTGTGTGTGTCTATGTCTGTCTGTGTGTGTGCGTGTCTATGTCTGTCTGTGTGTGTGCGTGTCTATGTCTGTGTGTGTGTGTGTGTGTGTGTCTATGTCTGTGTGTGTGTGTGTCTATGTCTGTGTGTGTGTGTGTGTCTATGTCTGTCTGTGTGTGTGTGCATGTCTATGTCTGTGTGTGTGTCTGTGTGTGTGTACATGTCTATGTCTGTGTGTGTGTCTGTCTATGTCTGTGTGTGTGTGTGTGTCTATGTCTGTCTGTGTGTGTGTGCATGTCTATGTCTGTGTGTGTGTCTGTGTGTGTGTACATGTCTATGTCTGTGTGTGTGTCTGTGTGTGTGTCTGTCTATGTCTGTGTGTGTGTGTGTGTCTATGTCTGTCTGTGTGTGTGTGCATGTCTATGTCTGTGTGTGTGTCTATGTGTGTGTGTGTCTATGTCTGTGTGTGTGTGTCTGTGTGTGTGTCTGTCTATGTCTGTGTGTGTGTGTGTGTCTATGTCTGTCTGTGTGTGTGTGCATGTCTATGTCTGTGTCTATGTGTGTGTGTGTCTATGTCTGTGTGTGTGTGTGTGTGTGTGTGTGTGTGTCTGTCTATGTCTGTGTGTGTGTGTGTGTCTATGTCTGTCTGTGTGTGTGTGCATGTCTATGTCTGTGTCTATGTGTGTGTGTGTCTATGTCTGTCTGTGTGTGTGTGCATGTCTATGTCTGTGTGTGTGTCTGTGTGTGTGTACATGTCTATGTCTGTGTGTGTGTCTGTGTGTGTGTACATGTCTATGTCTGTGTGTGTGTCTATGTCTGTCTGTGTGTGTGTGCATGTCTATGTCTGTGTGTGTGTCTATGTGTGTGTGTGTCTATGTCTGTGTGTGTGTGTGTGTGTGTGTGTGTGTGTGTGTGTGTGTCTATGTCTGTCTGTGTGTGTGTCTATGTCTGTCTGTGTGTGTGTGCATGTCTATGTCTGTGTGTGTGTCTATGTGTGTGTGTGTCTATGTCTGTGTGTGTGTGTGTGTGTGTCTATGTCTGTCTGTGTGTGTGTCTATGTCTGTCTGTGTGTGTGTGCATGTCTATGTCTGTGTCTATGTGTGTGTGTGTGTGTGTGTGTGTGTGTGTGTGTGTCTATGGCTGTGTGTGTGTGTGTGTGTGTGTGTGTGTGTGTGTCTGTGTGTGTGCGTGTCTATGTCTGTGTGTGTGTCTGTGTGTGTGTGTGTGTGTGTGTGTGTGTGTGTGTCTATGTCTGTGTGTGTGTGTCTATGTCTGTCTGTGTGTGTGTCTCTGTGTGTGTGTGTGTGTATGTCTGTCTCTGTGTGTGTGTGTGTGTGTGTGTGTGTGTGTGTGTGTGTCTGTGTGTGTCTGTCTGTCTTTGTGTGTCTCTGTCTCTGTGTGTGTGTGTGTCTGTCTGTGTCTCTGTGTGTCTCTGTGTGTGTGTGTGTGTGTGTGTGTGTGTCTGTCTGTGTGTCTGTCTCTGTGTGTGTCTCTGTGTGTGTGTGTGTCTGTCTGTGTGTGTCTCTGTGTGTCTGTCTGTCTTTGTGTGTCTCTGTGTGTGTGTCTGTCTCTGTGTGTGTGTTTCTGTGTGTCTGTCTGTCTTTGTGTGTCTCTGTGTGTGTGTCTGTCTCTGTGTGTGTGTTTCTGTGTGTGTGTCTGTCTTTGTGTGTCTCTGTGTGTGTGTGTCTCTGTGTGTGTGTGTGTGTGTGTGTGTGTGTGTGTGTGTGTGTGTGTGTGTGTGTGTGTGTGTGTGTGTGTGTGCCAGTTGTAATAACCATCTCACTTCCTTCCGCCTCATTAGCATACGATGTGCTGATGAGCTGCCATCGCTAACCAGCACACACCAAACCAAAAGGCCTCTTCGTATCATCTCAGGTTGTAAAGCACCGAGTTAATCAGCTTAGAATCGACTGTATGGAAACCATAATTACGCGTGTTTAATTGCTTATCGTCTGATGGGAACAAGTTTATTAGAAAATGTATTCATGGTAATTGCTTCCTGAGGTTTCCGCTGCTACGATGATATCCTGTCAGCTCCCATTTGGATTGGAGGATTAATGCGTCACGAAACGACTGCGTGTCGTTCTGTGGACGCTCGGTTTAACTCAAAGTGATTTTTAATTTAGGGATTTCTAAAGTAGAGCTTTGGATAAGTCTCTGGAGTGAGATACGTCAAAATCGGAATATCTCGCTGTTGATACGGAGGGATATAAAGCAGGAAATGACCTGTTATCCGTTACAATTACTAGTTACCTGTGTTTCCTTCAGCCTCACAATGAAACACATGAGCACTTACTACTGTTCAAAAAGCAGGAATAACATCTGAGTGCACCGTTTTAGTTTAAAGCACACACACACTATTTGATGAACATATAGGTTCACTTCCTGAATTAAACACAGAACATATGAACCAAAGAAACTCACTTAAATACCTCATTCACACCAACGCAACTCCGGTTCAAGCTCCGTGCTAGAGCTTTTCAGGTTCAGAACCGGTTCTTCGGTTTAGCTCCGGCTCTTTTCACACCGCCCAGAGTCCGACTGGTGCTGCGTCATTGCGTCATCGTTTGCGTTATGACGTAACCGTTTTCGTGCCTGCTTCATAAAGCCAAACCGCTCGGAAACCCCTCACAGCTGACACCGACAACAACAACAACAATGGCCGATTGTGCTCCAGCTTCCTCTGCACCTCTTCGGAAGACCAGATTCCCAGCAGGTAGCTGGTCTCTTCAGTGGACCACTGCTGCTTGTTAAGTTTCTCCATCGTTGTGTACAAACTGGATAAAACGCCGGCTTCTTGTTGTTGTTCAGGAGTTGATCCCGCCCCTGCCCCCGCCTCGACGTAAGCGTGACGTATGCGGTGCTTTTGCTCTGGCCGGACAATTTTTTGGTGCTTGAAACGAACCGGATTCCGGAGCTAAGAGGCTGCGGTGTGAACAGGAAAACCCGGTGCTTTTCAAGCTCCAGCTCCGACCGGCCCTGAAACACCGTTGGTGTGAATGAGGTCTTAGAGGACCTATTATGTAGTATTTGCAAAAATGTATCATAAATGTCATATTGTTGGGAATAAAGACGATATTTGAAAGCGACAGTGTTGTCATTTAGATTTCTGTAATCATGTCTGGTTCATTTGACCCCAACAGCACCACAGGGTCCCAAATGTGAAGCAAAAATGCCCAAAAATCTATGGTTTCAGCTTCTAAAATGTAAAAATTCACTTCTATCAATGTCATTTGTTATCCGTTACAATTACTAGTTACCTGTGTTTCATGAAGCATATTCAGCCTCACAAGAAAAGGTCTGCAAAGGCTACAATCCCTTTTTACAGGTCACAACAGAATACATTTCGAAGTAACCATGCAGGTATTTATCAGATATAATAATTAAACGTGCGGTCGTGCAGTACATATTGATGGAAGTATCTGTAAGAACCCACACAGACAGCAGCGCAGTATAATCTGTTCTGATTTATTACCAATCTGAATATTACTCTTCACACAAAATATATTATTATTATATCATCATTGAGGCTCTCCGTACTTTTCAGACAGCACTACATATCGTAAAGTTGTCTATACGAGGTCACAATATCACGATATGCGGAGATGGAGGGACAACTTTCACTTTGGCTTAAATATAATCTATTGATTCTATTCATATATATCTGGGTTATATGCATTACATCTAATATTAACAGTGACAACGTGTGTAATCAGGATTAAAAAAACACCTGATATGTCGAGAACAAATTCATAATCTGTGAGGCTTTTATCCCCAAAATACAACACACACACTTCAACGTCTGTACATGTGAGTATATAATGAGTGTATTTCCAAAACACATCGATTCGTTAATATTCTGTACAATATTATGATTTTTACATTAACTTTAAAAGTACTATGATGAATGAGAGCTGCTGCGATGAGTAGAAGAGACAGAAAATGTACCGGCGGCCATTTTTGTAGTTCTTTAAACCCGTATGGCCAACTGGTGCAAACACGCTGCCGCTTTAAAAACGACACAAATACAAATAATGACATTGTTTTTGAAGCCGCAACGTGTTTTTCTTAATTGGAACGTTCTCCTAATTGGATGCATTTGCACCTGTGGGCCTCCGTACAGTATGGCGGTTAAATTAATCAGATTTTTTTATTTTAACTACAAGAGAAATTAGAGAAGGATTACATTTTTTTACCTGAAACTCCATAGATTTGTTTGCTGTCCATTAAAAATGCAAGTGTTTATTAAAGTGGATTTTCTTTTTCCATAAATCTATCTTGAACATTAAGTGATTTAGTATTTGCAAATAATCACAAATGTTATCCATATTGGTGGGAATTGTGAGAGAAAGGCGGTATTTGTGAGCGATAGTGTTGTCATTTAGATTTCTGTAATCATGTCTTTGGTTAATTTGACTCCAACAGCATCACAGGGTCCCAAATGTGAAGCAAACATCCTAAAAATCGATGGTTTCAGCTTCTAAAATGTAAAAATTAACTTCTATCTTTGTCATTTGTGACGGTTAATTAAACAAACTGATATTTTAGACTCTAAAAAAAAGTCTTTTTTCATCAAATTATCCTAGAAAATCAACTGCCATCTGTAATAATGAATACAACAGATAGCTAGGCAGGTTTGAAACGTGCCGATCAGCTTTCCAACGTTATTTTAAATCTCTACTCGACGTCACGACAGCAGCTCGTCAGTGGCACTATAACGGTATGTTCAGGAACAACATCACAGTAAGGAGAAACCAGGACTCATTTTGGCAAAAAGTCCCGCAGTAGGAGTTCGCTTTAAGAAGATGGAATCACTGAAAACACAAACAGGTTTCTGCCAACATGGATCCAGGCGAGATCTCTGGCACGACATTCATAAGAATACAGTTTGTATATCGAGGTGAAGAGGAGGGAGAGACAGAGAGAGGAAGATCTCGGGCTGGAGTGGGCGGAAGGAGAGCGATATTCAGCGATGAAGAGGAGGAGGAGGAGGAAGGTGAGATGCCTCCTTTAAGGAAGCGCTTTCAAGATGGCGTTCACCTCCTCGGCCACGGCTGTCAGCCCAAACTCAAACTGCTCCTGAGGAGGAAGAGGAGGAGGAAGAGTTGTAATACTAGTTGAACATTTTAACATTTTATATATTTTCTAGTTTGTGTTTATTCTATATATTGTATTTGTTCCTGTTCAGCCGAGGTTGTTTGTAAATGTGGCAAATAGAATAAAGATTGAGATTGAAGGAGGAGGAGGAAAGGAAGGAGGAGGAGGAAGAGGAAGGTTTTAGTCGTGTTCACAGGTAACTTGTAATTAAACTAGAAGCTAAAATGGTTTTATTGTGATCTATTGACTTGTTTCCGCGTTCCTTTCTTCATGGATGTGTGTGACTCCGGAAAGCCTCAGAACACGTGGTTTAAACGACACAGAAAAACTCAATTGTGGTAAAAATGATGGTGCTTTTATCCATTTTTAAAGAGAGATTCTGCAGGATGTGTTTGTGTGTGTGTGTCTCACCTCTCTCTCTCTCAGTGTGTGTGTGTGTGTGTGTGTGTGTTTCACTCTCTCTCTCAGTGGTGGCGTCTCAGCTGTCTGTGTGTGTGTGTGTGTTCATTCTCAGCTCTCTCTCTCAGTGTGTGTGTGTCTGTGTATCTCACCTCTCTCAGTGTGTGTCTGTGTGTGTCTCAGCTGTGTGTGTGTGTGTGTGTGTCTCAGCTGTGTGTGTGTGTGTCTCAGCTCTCTCTCTCAGTGTGTGTGTGTGTGTGTCTCACCTCTCTCTTTCTCTCTCTCTCTCTCTCTCTCAGTGTGTGTGTGTGTCTCACCTCTCTCTCTCTCTGTGTGTGTGTGTCTCACCTCTCTCTCTCTCAGTGTGTGTGTGTGTGTGTGTTTGTTTGTGAATCCCACTCATAGTTCTCCCCTGAGGAAGCCCACAGAGTGTGATTGATGTGAGGCGCTGCTGGAGTTTCTCTCTGCCCTCAGAGAGAGAAAGGTACGTAGGAGTTCTGAGTCTTTAGAAGTGTCCCGGTCTGGGAGGAGGGAGGAGGAGGAGGAGGATCGATGCGCAGGAGGAGGAGGGAGGAGGAGGAGGAGGGGGAGGAGGTAGGGAGGAGGAGGAGGAGGAGGAGGATCGATGCGCAGGAGGAGGAGGGAGGAGGAGGAGGAGGATCGATGCACGCATGCACAACATGTTAGAACCTGACTACATGTTGCACCTCGTCTTCACTTATAGGACAGCGCTGTGAAAGCAGCAGCAATGAAAGCTAACACACTGCTGCCTTCATTAGGATTACTTTGGTCCTTCCTGCAGGAGAGGAAATGTATTGAGGCGAAGGACGACAGAAGTAACATTGAGCTCTTTTGAGATTCAAACAGGAAACATGTTGATAATAGTCGGAACAAGTTGGATTTATTTCACCTTTTTACAACAAAACTGTCAATTTGGCGAAAAGCCCTAAAATGCCGTCAAGTAGAAGAGTCTTATTCTGCCTGGTGATAAAGTGCAGTAACATATAAGAGGCTGTGATGAATGCAGAAATGAGTTATTATCTGTTAGTTATCAGTTATTGGGGTTTTCTATTCAGTCGAGTTTTAAAATGTCTTGACATCATGAGGGTTTCCAGTCTGTGGCTATACGGACGGTTTCATTGTCTCGTGCTTTTACATTAGTTTCTTTTGTCTGAATGTATTTATCGATGTACAGCACAGATTGGATTGAGCACATCACTCCTCCTGATCCGGTGGATATGAATTAGGGCCGCTCGATTATGGCAAAAATTATAATCTCGATTATTTGGGTCAATAATTGTAATTGCGATATTAAATGTGATTATTCATTGACTTTGAAAACATCCATTTATTGGAGAAAACACATTTGAACAGTTTGTTTTTAACAGTTGATTATCCTGAACTTTAAGAATAACTCAACTGAAAAACCAAAAAATAAATAAAATAAATAATAATAATAATTTAAAAAATCGTTTTATTTCGATTACGTTGTTTTCGTAATCATTGCAAGCCATAATCGTAATGGCGATTAAAATACGATTAATTGAGCAGCCCTAATATGAAGTAGACAATCGTCCGCCCTCCTTCCTTCCTCCCTCCCTCCCTCCTCCCTCCCTCCCTCCCTCCCTCTCCTCTCCTCTCTCCTTTGCACCTGTCGGAGGTCAAATGTATCTGTTTTTTAATTTTAACTAAAAGAAAAATGATGGAAGGATTTCTTTCACCTGAAACTCCGGAGCCGTATTTGCTCTCCATTCAAAATGAAAACCCACGTGTATGAACACGGTGTAGTGGATTTTCTTTTTACATAAATCCATCTTGAACTTTAAGTGATTTGCAAAAAGTAATCATAGATGTCATATTGTTGGGAATACAGACGGTACTTGGATTAATTCATGTTTAGTGTGTTTGACCCCAACAGCACCACAGGGTCCCACATGTGAACAACACACTAGAAGAATGCCTAAAAGTCTCTGGTTGGAGCTTGTTTGTGACGGATAATCAAACATCCTGATATTTCAGACTCTAAATCAGATTAATCAAAAAAAACCTTTTCATCAAATGATTCCAGAAAATAATAATGAATACAACAGTGAGTCAGCAGGTTGTGCTTCGATGCTGATTTCAGGACATACATCTCCACTCGACAAAGACATGTTTGAATGGCTGCTCCCTTCCTCCCTCCTTCCCTCCTCCCTAACTCCTTACCTTTGTCTGCACCATCCCAGCTCTCTGGTCTCTCAAGTGCTCCAGGGTAGCGGCGATATCAATCTCTTTAGCACCTGCGAGAACAGAGGGAGAGTTGGACTGAGTTCAAAGCCGTAATCCAGCAGCTCACATCTGTCAATCTCTCCGTACGCCGCGCTGCCTTTAGAGAAACCGCCCGGCGACGAATTATTACATTCATCCCGGGGAAAGGACTTGGACCAGAGCCACGGGCGGTTTCCTCGTTAACACATGCACAAGGAGGATGTTGCAGGTCTGGGAGGAATGTGTAACTTCATTTATCTATATAAGGGATTGCTTGTATTTGCTTCCTGCTTTTATTTGCCTTGTTGGAGGTCAGAAGAATTTCATTTCCATTTCTACATCTTTGTGCATAAAACCTTTGAATGTTGAACCTCAGCCAAAGCAAGCGCTATCAATCTGGAGATCTCATTCTTCTGTCAGATGTATTGGTTTCAAGACGAGGAACCCTCAGAGAGCTCCGTTTGAAAGTGAGAGAGAGAAAGGAAGAGTTTCTTTGAGAGAGTAAAAGAGGGGGGGATTTAATGCAGCTGGACTCAAAGTACTCCGACATCACTTTCATGTCTCAGAGAGAGTCTGGATTTCCCCCGAGCTAAGCCGAGGAGAGGCTCGTGCAACAAAGAGAGAAAGGCTTTGCAGACGGAGATTACCTTCGTTTCAAACATTGGGTTCTGCAGAAAGGTTAAAGGGGCGCCTTTCATCCCGCTGA